TCTATGAGATGGATTGATTCGGTGACTGGGGTAATTGGGATGCGTGTGTCAGAGGCAGTGCGGTTGGCGCAGGATAGAGCAGGGTTTAGGGCTGTTGTGCATAGGGTCGCTGTGAGTCGCAAACGTCTCGATGGCACATAACAACAACATTGTCTGTGGAGTGGTGTAACCAGGTTTCCCAACTTAAGCAGTTTCTTTCCAGGGATGGGGGGAGTGGTTGTGTAGGCAGCTCTTGCCTTATTACTTAGCAGCTTAGATGCAGGCTCTGGGACTGAGTCTCTCATCTGACTGCAGTACCCTCCCTTTAATTTTATTGTCCTCTTTGGTCTGTGGAGTGATCCCTTGGAGGTCAGGTTCCCCAGCTGGAGCAGTTTCTCTTCAGGGGCGATGCAAGCCCTTCCTCCTCAGCATCTCATTGTGCTGGCTCTGGGTGTGAGTCTCTCACCTGGCTGCAGTCCTCTCTCCTGAACTATATCATTAATTTTGCACTTATTTTGTGAACTTTATAGCTTTTTTTGTCCCATTATTTCCACATTTCTATTCTTTTCTGTGCATTTACCTGGGTTTTTTTGTGTGTTTTGACTTTTTAATTTCTTCTTTTTTAATGTTCTGTGTATTTTCTCTAAATATTTTCTTAGTGACTACTGGAAGTATATATGTATTGAAATCAGGAAGTGTGAGGTATCCTACTTTGTTCTTCTTCAAAATTACTTTGGTTATTTAGAGGCTCTTGTCTTTCCATATAAAATGGATAATTAGCAGCAAAAAAGAAAGAAGGATTGTCAGGGATAGGAGAAAGATATGGAATCCATGACTAACTGACTGCCTCCAAGAATAACTGATTGCCTTCTTTATTAGAAGACCAGAAGAACTGGGTTAACTTGGATAACCTGCTACTAATACTAAACATTTTGAGCAAAGATTCCATAAAAGAATTTTAATCAAATGGGAGGAAATTTAGAACATAATTTAAACTTCTTACAGGGACTTCCAAATTTTTGGAGTCATGTATTAGATAAATCCTCGAAACTATTCTCTCAAGATAATCTTTAAGTCTTAAATAAAAAAAAAAAATGTTCCCTGAAGTCTTCCTAAAATTGAGTCTTCCTTAAATTTATCTTAACTAGTAAAAGAGTCTTTCCTGAGCATTATGCTCTTTTAAGAACTTGGTACTAAATTGACAAGCACTTCAAAGATCAGCTAGGAGTGTCAATGGGCAGTGAGTTCAATAATAAAGGAGGAAAAGGAGGGGTGAGAATGGTAGCTCAATTTGAAGAACGTCATCAATGTCCCTAACTTGTACATACAGGAACTGCTGAAGTGTTGTACGTTTTGCTGTATATTCCCAATATAATAAGACACATAAAGTTTAGTAAAAATTAACACTAATTTTTCCATTTCTAGAAAGAATTCTGTAAGACTTCTGGCTGAAATTACAGCATATCTGTAGATGGCAGTAGGCAGTATGGACATCCTGCACACTGTAACTCTTCAATCTATAAGCACAGAATGTCTTTCATCTAGCCAGGTCTTCATCAGTCTGTTTCATCATTTTCACTGTGTAAGTTTTGCATCTTCCAGGGTAAGCTAGATACTTTGTTCTCTCTGTTGTACCACTGAATTGGCTCTGCCTCATTAGTCACTGTATGCACAACAGAACAAACTCCTGCTCCATCCTGAGCCATCCACACAGTCTCTGCTGTGCTTAAGTCCATTGTTCTAGAACTGTGTTGACCCATCTTTTTGAAGGTCTTCCTCATTTTTTGCTTACCCTCTGCTTTTCCAAGCATCATGTCACTCTCTCAGCACTGGTTCATCCTGATAACATGCTAAGTATGTTAGGGAAAATCTTGCCATCCTTGCACCTGAGGAGCATTCGGTTTTACTTCTTCAAGATAGATTTGTTCTTTTCTCAGTCTATGTTGCTGTTACTTTATGCTCTCAAATAGAAATTGACTCATAGCTGACCCTCCAGCAAGTTTTCAGAAGCAGTATACATTACTCAAGAGAAGACTGCCCACCTTTCTCCTCCAGAGCAGAGCAGCTGATGAATCTGAACCATGTGCCTTTGGGATTGCAGCATAGTTTCTTAGCACTAGGCCACAAGCGCACCCTTTGTAACTGTCTGACACCACCACAATTAAAAGGCATTAGTTTTTCTTCAGTCTTCCTTATTCACTGATCAATTTTCATAGTCATATGAAGCAATTATAAATACCATAGCTCAGGTCAGGAACACCTTAATCTTGAAAGTGACATCTTTGCTCTTTATCCCTTTAAAGAAGTCCTTGGCAGCCTATTTAACCAATGCACAATGTAATTTGATTTCTTGACTACTATTTCCATGAGTGTTGATTGTAGATATAAGTAAAATGGAATAGCTGAAAGCTTCAATCTTTATTCCATTTATCATGATGCTTCTTAACTGCATAGTTGCAAAGGATTTTGTTTTCTTATGTTATTTGCTCTGTTCTCTTAGATGCTTATAAATGAGCTATTTACTTAAGTTACTAATGAATTGTTAAAAGTGAAATGTGTTATATTTTAGGGCATTATTCTTATCGTAGGAGTATGCAATGAGGGTTG